GGGGAGGGGGAGGGGGAGGGGGAAAACAGCTAAGATGGAGAGATTGCCTCACCTCACTAGCAAGCAGTACCAAAATCTGGCATTTTTAATGTTTGTTAAAGCAACAATTCCTTCTCACTTTTAAGGGCTATAGTGTGAGGTGATCCCTGGCCATCCTGCTTTAAAAATCGTTTGCTACAGCAGAGCTTTACTGCAAGTATTTAAACAATTAACCATGTAAAATAGTTTGGTCTTAAAAGTACAACATAAATTGTAGTGGAAAGTGAAGGACATAAAAACCTTTCATCTTTAATTTTCTTTCATCTTTTAATTTTTAACCTTTAAATTTTAACCTTTCATCTTTTAATTTTTCTTTAAAAGAATTATATAAAGGTTTTCTTATAAAAGTTCTTCCCTGTATACTGAAGTGGCAAATAAAGCTGGAGTAAATATTTTGTTTTTAAAGTTGCTCAAATTCTTGACCAACTGATGTAAAAGTTGAGTTGAACCAAAACAGTTAAAACAATCATTCAAAGCATTGAAGTATTTGTCATTTACATGAATAATGACACATGAAAAACTTATTGAGAAGTCTTCCAATTAAATGTAGAAAGGCTTTCACCTCACTTTGGAGTGAGAAGTGCTAATGCGATGTTGTTGAGCCCAGCCTCTGGAGAGAAACTGGGCCTTGAGAACTGTAGTGCCTGTGATACACTTAACACCCAAATTGTCTCAGTGCCACAGCCTCATACAAGTAGGCTTTGGCCTTATGTGTGTAACTGAAAAGAAAATGTGTGTACATGACCATGTATGTGTAATTATTGTTCCTAGGAATTTGGCACAAGTCAGAGATAATTTCTTATGCTGAGAAGCTATACTGCAGAATATAATGTATCAAAACCATTTTTTCTCTGAAATTATTTAAGCATCTTTTCTACATCATAAAAATCATTGACACTGTGTCCTCCTCCCACTAAGGTGTTTGATAACTGGCATTAGGCTTCAAGGGAAAAAAGGGTTGATAGTATTTTTCATAAATGAAAACAATTACAAATAATATAAGTACAACTAGACCATCTTTATATAAATAAAATCATTACAAAAAAGTTTTAAACAATTTTCTTAAGCAGATTCCACCGTGTAAAAGTTGAGTTGAACCAAAACAGTTA